ATCTCTGTGATATAATTTCGTACGATTCCGTCGAATTTCCAAGCACTCATCTGGTGAACCGCTTCGCGTTGACACCGGTTGGGAAAATAATGTAACAAAAAAGAGCTTTATCACCTCGTTAGGATTGTCAAGCAGCGGAGCAACTTTGACACTAAATTCCAGATAGGCCATAAAATAAGTCTCCGAACCGCTGCAAAAGCGGTTATTTAAGTTGTTCTATTGAACGCGTTACGACAAGCATTCACGGAAGTGAAACATTAGGAGTGGGAAAGTGTTTGATATTGTGTATCGAATAGTAATATGTATGTTTTTCCCCCAGAAAACTATGGAGCTAATCACGCTTGAAACTGATCAACTGTGACCGCGAATAGACCTTTCGAGCGGTCATTATGTAGTACCCACCGCAGAAACACAATAATTCCGAGAGAAAGGAGATTTAGCGCAGTCAATCGAAGGGTGTGCCCAACCTATTGAGTGGCAAAACTTTTTCCATATTGTTTCAAACCGATAAGTAAATCATGCGTCTTGTGTGTGTGCGTGTCTGTGTGCAGTACTTGGGAAATAACAACAGGAAAATAAAAGCATTCCGGGGCAATGCGGTGAAACCACTCTAGTGAGTCGTGCGATTCGGACGTTGGGACAGAAACACGGACACAGGGAGCATAATAATCGATCCAGTCAGCTGATAGAGCGATGTGAATCCGCTCCCGAACAGATAGTGAACAAGCTTCTATTTTATTGCAACCAAGTGGGAACCGTTTGAGATTGTTCACAAGGGGATTAGATGCCAATCAAAAGGAGTCGATTCTCTTGTGTGTGTACAAGAGAGGGAAATAAAAGACAAAAGAAAAACTACCTTTGGTTGTCAACCCGTTTGTGGGGAATAAATGAATTCCAAGGGAGCGGGGTTTCCAGAAGAACAAAGATACACAGAAACCAGATGTGAATTCGCAGGTGACTAAAATGAAGACATGTTTGAAAGAATCTACTAGTTCCAGTACGAATTAGTCAACAGATACCAGCGTCAGAACAGATTGAGCGTATCCACAGTATTAGAATGTTTACAGTACATATTAGACACTGAGAGATAAGAAAACAGTAAGCAGTTATATAATCCAATTTTTAATAGAAAAAATGGCACAACTGATTCCGGTGTCTAAGTAAAAGTGACGTACTACCATCCCAAAGCCCAAGATACGGTTCACACTCAAGTTCCCTTATTAATGCACATAGCGACGAACAATGACTGAGACGGTCCCGATGATGAAACTTGAAAGTAACGGTTGAAATAACGTTATTGCATAAGAGCCGTAAAAAAAAATCTTTTATTACTTCGAACTTATTCAACAAAGTTGACCGTAATTTCGAAATGAATCACGCAAATGTTTCAGTTTTGGTGAGGACGACTGTTCGACGAAGGAGCCAATAACAGTGACAGATGGCACGAATTATGGCAATATGCATCGTTCTGTGTTTCACGACGATTCCACAAATTAGGTCTGCTGATGGTCTACAAAAATCCAAAAACCCTAATTGCTGCGTGGTCAACGCACAGAGTATTTTGGACCCAGCCCGTCCCCTTTTCGTGGTAAGAACTTCTCCGAATAGGAAGGACTATGTAACCTGTTTCAAACTTCTATTTCAGACTCGGACGAAGAGTGATATCGTTATACCACAATAGACGAATAAAGTGTATTCTTAAATCAACTTGTCTCGGCACCCAAGCAACCGTCAAGCAATAACTCTGGACAGGGTGAGAACTATTCAATAAGGACCATTCGATACAGGCTAGATTACATCAAAGTTCAATTTCGATTAGAGACAGAACCGTGGTTTCGTTAAACGAAAGACGAAAATAAAAGAACTGATGAGCAGTGGCTCAATTACCAATAGATGTGTTTCTAAACTAGTTGTTTCCGGTTTACATGCGCATAGTGTAGAATGAAGTCTTCAGGTATGGGTAAAACAAAAATCGCTGAAGCACCAATCAGGAAGGATACACCACCATACACTGCTAGTGGACAGGCGAGCCCTAAGCAGGCCATAAAGACGGTAGCACATTTTTTGACTCAGCTACCAAATGACCAACATTTCCAGTTAGTTAAAAACGCATTGAAAGTATGCAGCCGTTTTGCAAGAGAGAAAAAAGCAAACAACTGCCGTATACGTGGAGTCCGTGTGCAAAAACAATCAAACGAAATGCCCGTACCATTCTTCAACTTAATGTTTGAGTCCGCTCCATTCGTTCGTCTGGAATTTTACACGATCCGGTTTTAGGACATGAGTAAAACCACGAAACAGTTCACTACTGCACCACGGTAAAAATGAACCTATATTTCCTAACTGATTGGGCCTACTTTACCTAAATCCACACGGAACCACATTTCCATTCCAGTGATTACGTGACGCAGGGGACAGAATTAACCTGAGCCGGGAAGCATAGTACAAGTAGTTCGGCGTTGCTCGACACGACCAACATTGTATAACTACCAACTATACTGAAGATCAAACAAGAACGTAATTTTGAATGATTCAGGACAGTGGTTCATAACAGACTAGAATGCCTGGTTCATTCATTTGCACTCAGAGTGTGCATCATTTGGAATTCTCTATCANCCTCGCGTTGGTTGTGCGCTCATAACTGATTTCTTCAAGCACATAATGGATGGCACATTGTCAAGTCTAATTTCAATATCCGTAACAGTACAATTGGCCTAAATAGGCAATACATACATGTATACCAACCTTTACAGACACGGGAACAAAATCCTATTTATAGAGAACAAAGGACAAACAAAATCTTTGGAGCCTGGAAACCGAGATGATCCGATGTAACTAAGACAAATAGTTTCTCCAACCCCCTACCCACGTCACAGCTTGCCCGATTTGTTGCTTCTCCCAATTATGTAATCTTTTCTTTGATTTTGCTTTTAATTCCTTCTATTGAAATATATATCATGATAAAATCTACAGAAACGGGGAAGCGGGCAATCACACGGTTGCTGTACAACACTCAAAGAATGGAGTAAGCTGGGCGGTGATGGTGGGATTCGAGCACATCCCCTAGGGAGGCAACTTGGTGACCTTTGTCACTTGACCATCCCCGCCCATTGTCCGCAAATAAATCACGGTATGGCCGACATCCAGATATTCGAAGGACGCCCAAACGACTTCAGACGATGCAGTAAGGATGATCTTGCTAAACGGAATACTATCTGCCCTGACACGTGTCGTCTAACCTAACCGTTGCAAACGTGTTGATACCACCAAACGTGGGTGATACTGCAAGGACAACGACCTTCGGAAACAAAGTGCTATCTTCCATTATCTGCTCCGAGCTATAAGGTTTCGTAGTCATAGAACCCGCATCGCTACGCTAGATACATACCCTTTAGGTGAAAGGGATGTATCATGCTGTCGGCAGAGATGGCGCAGATTAGCAAATGCCAAATTTGGTTTGATTTTCCTGAAACTTCCGAGGCGGACAAAACTTTCAACCTCTTCGAGAATGCCACTACCGAACAAATGTGCAAGCACATGATCCTATCAATCTTGCACTTGGAAGTTCGGACGAAATTGACACCTGTCACTGATTGTTCTTAACGGAACAATCAAATCGAGGAATCGATTCCGGCGCACAGAAGTATAAGGCTAATGGTTGTGTAACACGATGATGACCTGCGGTGGCGAAAACCAAAAAAACCTTTCTCATAGTCAAAAGGAACCCTGAGAGGATTATTTCCAGTTCGGATGATGGCGGCTGTTTCTACTTTTTAACGACTACCATAAGACGAGTCGGATTCTTGGATATCTCTCTCGGATAACAGCTGTATCTGCATGGCAGTTGGTGACAAAGTCGATACTGACGGGGATCTAACACACGCTCCGTAGCCGGACTCCGTATACCGAGTTTAGATCTAGGTGTTTCATTCAGGTTGCCCATATTGAAGCCGCCTTCCAGAAGTCTATAGAAAAAACAGGTCTTTTTTATTCGAGAATGGACTTCCAGCGAGTGCACATCCAAGAGGGAACTATAAAGCAGTAGACTACTGTTTTGCTAAAAAATCTTCGACAACTCAGCCACATCCAACCAAGTTTAGGTCGTCTGTCAAACGGTTTACAGGGTGTAGTCGCTTTTCATTTGAGATCAGCTCCTCGAAATAACGGGCAGGAGCTGATGGCTAGGCCAAGGCCAAAAACTCCAGCGAACATGACAGTACTTCCGTGAGGTGCCAATTCTCGCTGTCATATGATATAATTTACTATAGCAAAGGCGAATTAGATGAGACAGACAACACTCATTTCATATAAGATCTGCTTTGACAGATGAGTAAAACGACTGACAACAACCGTCGAAAAAGTATAATTCATAAAGTGTGTTCAAAAACCTCATAAGGTAATATTGCGAAATTGTTTATTTTTGACTCGAACGAAAGAACCAGGGAGGTTTGAAACAATTTAGCATGTCGAAGAGACTACTCACCGGACGCCGAGATTTGGCCAATTCTTCAATCAGCTCAATCCACGGCCGAACGAGACCTTCCAGGATACCCAAAGCGGAATTCTGGTGAATTCTCGCTTCGGTATCCATTACACCACAGATACGTAGCCATGAGTCATGCACAGTGCTGGAAATGAAAAAAAAAACAGACAGTGGCTCAAGACACAGTGAAAGCATCATGCTACAGTAGCTGAAGTAAAAACAACAAGAAACTTTATCTTCTGGAGTCTGGAACCACTCTTTTCATACTCGGAAGCACAACATACAACCGAAGAAGAGAAATCCTACAAGCACAAGTGTGGTCTGATGCAAACATGACATATGCACGGGTTCTGCTTGGAGAAAACATACAACAAATCAGGGATTGGCATTAGTTAATCCTATCAATTGCTATTTTATAAGGAGACAAACTGTGCTATTTATAAAGGACCGGTTTAGATATGGAAAAAGAAATACAATTTGGCTATACGAAAGGTGCTGGGAAAGTTAGCCATTCGAATAGGTAAATATCAATGTCCGTTTTGCTTTCCTTTGTTTCTAAGCTTTTTTTCTAAGCATAGTGTGCGGGAAACCGGCCATGATTACAGAAGGCGAATCAAACAGGGTGGTAAGAAGACGGAGGCATAATGTGACAAAAGTTGTTTCGGCGATCCATGCACTGGTATCACAAAAAATAATAGATCAACACCGCGCACAATACATTAGCCATATTTTACTTGCAATAAATTTATGTGGTGACAATGTCAATAGATCAGTTTGAATCGAAAGCGCGGGAAATGTATTTGATTGCCACCTGGTGAAAATCAATATTGCGAGCCATAAAATTAAATTTTTGAAAATAGCATTGTTTCATTTGTTGTGAAATAGCGCAATCAACACAATAAGGACAGATTTAAACAATAAGACTTGCTGCGCATAAAAAGGGCGACCACTAAAATAACGCTTACAATTTTACTAATTTTACCAAAATAATCCGCATTTACTCGTTGCTAAAAACCTAACTAAGCAGCTTTATCATTCTTCTAGTTGTTAAAAAAATCCTCGAATTCTCGGACAGTTTCAAACTGCACGATAAAGAACATGTGAACGGTAGAGAAAACTCGACTAGATACAATGAGTACAAAAATTTGCAAGCAAGTACGTTTTCTTTATGTCTTAATCATATCATCACAACACAATATATATGATGGGTAACAGATAAAGATGTACAAGGGAAAAGGGATTTGTCGAACCACCCACGGCATAGGTTCAATGTGTGGACCGTGACCATCGAGGTCAAATTTTTCTTACATAGAGCGATTAACAGTAGAAAGAAGAACAAAAGACATTACGATGGGTGAATGCTGTATTCACAAGGTTGGACGGCTGTGGCGGGGTTCGAACCCCAGATCTTGGAACCCAAAACACACCAAATTACAGCGACTTAAACCTCCTGACTGCGAAACAAGTTTCAGGTGTAAAAAATATAGAACTATGACTGCAATTACTCATTACAAGTAAATGTCTTCTTTGATGAAATCTATAGCTTCTAACCAAGACCAGGGTTTCTGAAAGCAAGTGGACAAAGCAATCACGCAGGCGCATCGAAGAAATACACTGAGGAGACCTTCCTTACTACGACTGGGTCATTGAAGGGAATAAGCCGTCTGAATGAATGATCAAGAAGTTTCTTGGGAGCTCGGCATAAGATATGTACCCAGCGTCATCCGGCTTTTAGCCAGACAGTCATCAGCCAATGAGGGGCCATAAAAAGCCTTTTACACCCCTCAGGACGAAATGAAACGATAACCACATGGACTGGGAAGCAAATATGAATCGGGCGAAAAATGTGTTACTCATGAATAATTAAATGCACCTCACTGACTGCTTACGTCGAAGATATTCGAAGGAGATCCAGAAAAAATAATAACTATGAAACCGAATAAACTCAAGCACTCTGAAACTATGGTAATTGATGGTTGATAGAGCACCCAGTGATTGTTAAGAACCGGCCTTGTTTCAGGTGTTTGTATGGTGTATTCTCTAAGCTTCACCACTCTAATACTCAGATTTCAAAATAACTACTAAAGCAAATGCAATGGATTCTCTCTTGGTTACCGTATTCTCATATATTAATTACGTGTTTCTGTTCACAACATCAAGGACTTATTCAGATCTTTGATACGCGAAAAGTTTCCCAGGAAAGACTGCTTCCCTCAATCTCCACAGCGAAATCAAAACAATATGGAATATTTATTTGATAGTAAACACACTACGCTTTCCCAATTCCAGCAGATGGCTTCCCACTTCAGGTTTCAAGACTTACGAAGTGCTCTAACACAAATGCCCAACCTCGATTTGAAAAAAATCACTTCAATAGCAATAGCTGGAAACCGATTAACCCATAAAGAAGGTATGATGTTGTTGCACTAGAGTTGTTTAAATACTACCAAAAACATCAGATCATTCTGAAGTAATGGAGTTAGATAGCATTCGTTATTCGCCCAAAGTAAGTGTGTAAAACCCGTCGCTTTTACCTTTTAATTTTGAGTGCTTTACTTCTATGTGAGGATAATAAAGCTTTTTGCATGTCTTTGATTAGGGAATTCCATGCGTGCTGATCGACCGCAAAGTTGGTGCAGTCTGAGACTCAGTTCTGGTGCCCGTTACGATTTACGTACATGGATGGGAGACCCAATCCATCCATATTCGCCTTGGTCATATCACTCCGGGTTTTTAGCTGATCACCGAGTAGGCAACGCCATCCCCGGTAGGGTGCATGACCTGGGATATGAGGTCCTTAGAGCACGTAGCCAAACCAGTGAAGGCACATGCGTTGTAGCATTTGAGAAAGCTTGTCAACGTTCGAGCAGCGCCGTCGAACCTCATCATTAGAAACCCGATAGCTCCAATCTAATTTCGAGATAAGGCGTAAGTATCAGTGGTCAACGAAGTCGAGATTCCTTGTATCTTGTGCTCTTGGCGGCCATAATTCGCAACCATATGTGAGGGTAGGGTGGATGGAAGCCTGATAAACCTGAAGCTTGGTGTATAGGTTTACTTCACATTGGTTCCACAACAGTCTGAGGAGTTTCAGGAAGGCTGTTCTAATTCTAGCTACATAAATTTAGATTTCACTCTTGGACTGACCGTTTAGTTTGATTGTAGAACCGATATACTTGAGGACTTGGAGTGATTCGACAAACGCTCCGTCAATCCCAAGGGATTGTGTCGCGGTAGAAGTTGATATCAAAAATTTATTGATTTTCGACGTATTGAACTCCAGCTGGTTCATGCGATTGACAACAGAGTGAAGGTAGTCTGTGGTGTCCCCAAGTACGACGACATAGTCCACAAAAAAGAGGTTCGCGATCCATGTATCGGGATTAAGCTACACTCTGGAACAGTCGATGAGTGTTGATATATTATTCAATCTACGACGAAATTGAACAACACCGGCGATAGAGGGCAGCCTTGTCTGAATCTAGAACTTAGTGTAAACTCAGTCGATTCTTCTCCATAGGACCATGCCCTGGTCCATAAGTAGTATGACTTTAAAAGCCTAATAAGTTTTTCGGGCATCCCATCAAACCGCAATATGCATCACAGGGATTCTCTATCGACAGAGTCAAAAGTAACGTGAAAATCGATCAGAAGATTGCTTGAACTTGTAGCGATGTTCCAGGATCCCACGGAGAGCGAAGAGTTGTTCGACACAGGCTCTTCCGGGGCAAAATCCTCTTGTGTCAGGCAAGTGCGGGTATCTCTGAACGCTGGGAAGCATTTAAGTAAACCATTTGGTCGAAATGTCGATCAGGCTGATGCCTCTATAATTTTATATTTTGATCTGTCACCCTTCGGGGGAATGGGGACTGAAGTTGAAGTTGCCCAGTCTTTTGGAAACACTTCTTTCCCAAATAGTGTGGAAAACAGAGTGAAGTGTATCAATCAATTGGTAGGTAAGCTTTGAATAGCTCTGGAGTTAGTCCGTCTTCTCCCATGGCCTTCCTGCTGGGTCATAATTGATGTTGTAGGTCAACGAACTGCTGGACCTGTGGACAGAAAGGTTGGTTGGATAGGCGGTGGGACAGTCTAGTTGGAGTGTTCAACCAACCTGTGCGTTTTCTGTTCGTCCCTCTGAAGAAGTTGGTTTCCTGTGTCACGCAACAATGTCTCCGATATATATTTTTCCTGCTGTAACACGGATTAATCGAAACGGCTTTTTAAAGTCCCCCGCGACGGTTGCAGTCTGCATGCTATCTGCAATCGTCTTCCAGTAGTTTTTACGGTCCCTCTTGGAGGAGAGCGAAGCTTGAAGCAGTGGATTACGGAATGCAGGCGAATTGACCATTCGTGGCTCTCTTGACTGTGTAGACAACTGCATTGTACGCTCGCAGATCCAGTCATTTATGTAACGGATAATCTCACTTAACTGCCCCAGCGCCGCTTCTCTGATGGAGGTTTCCAGTGTAAGTAGCTGTATCAACAGTTTAATGGTCACGAGGATCTGCCGCTGTATTGGAAGCGATTGCATCCAGCAATGCCTGCCTTACCTCAGGAATTTCCAAAAGAGCGAGGCTGAAACTGCCCGGGAGGGCATCCCCAGGCGAGCAATCAGATGGACCTTGAAACAAGAACGTACAATGGTATGGTCCGTGCCGTGTCTATTTCCAGTTTTTGCATCGCGATAGGAACGGCGTCTTGAGCTTGGTTAGAGAAATCGTTTTTGATAGACATTTCTGCATGTAAAGTTGGAGAACAGACAGTGATGACCGGCAGGTTAGGCGCCTGAAGTATACTGTGGCAATCCTGGGAGAGATTGGTTTCCGGGAGATAATGATATTATTCGCCCGTTCGCTCACGGTGAATGCTACTGGGTTGAAACCGGAGTTGGTAGTTGGTCGGTTGTGGTACAACTTGTAGGTTGCGTCGGGATGTAGTGCACTGGTTTCTTTTGAACCACAGTAAGGCAATCGAACTTCGGATAGCAGAGGTTTACTTGTCGTGCGGCGAATGCATTGTAATGCA